CTAAAGATAAAAAATGGGCCATAAATGACAATGTTTGGGTAGCACACATACTGAAAAGTCTTATCCTTCTTTTGATACTTTGTCATATAAACTTCCATACTGCTTATTTCAAGACTGCAAACAAATAACCGACTCGCTGGTGTGGCCCCTTCCCTAGTCCACTAGCCTAGTGATTTCCACGTCCACAATCCTTGCACTCTGTTACCTTGCATCAAAATTGCCACACCAGCCACTACAGCAGCTATCCATCAGATACTAACTCAAATTTCATTAAACAAGGAAACTGAATCTAACATATTCCATATTCTTGCGTCTTTTATTTCCATATCTCTCTCTTTACTTTTCCTTGACCCATCCAGCCAATATCTTAAAATTGTATACTTATTACCATAACTATCCTTTGATCCATGATTGAGATGTTGCAGTGTAGATATTCATAGCTGTTTTGAAGGTTCAAATGCCAGGGTTGCAACAGCACTTTAAGTCAACATCAGTTCTACAGTAGAACTTGTCCCTATTTTGATAAGAATGTAATAATGTCAAAACACATATTAATGGATTTTTTTTAAGAAACAGCGAGTTTTCACCAATGTACAGAGTACACAATTGGGAGAAGCATAGTTGGGGTATCCATGTTGTCAAAATTGGTGTTTTCATTAAAAAACTATTATTAAACTAAGTCATATGACCAAGCCAATACAAACTTTTTGCTAGGTTAAAGGTATTTACCCTCAGCTCCCATTGCATGCTGGTGCATGTTAAAATCCTTGTTCCATTGTTAACTAGTATGCATAAGCAAATTTTCTGATTATCAGCCTGGTGGTTCTCCATGCATTTCAACAAATGCTAATGCGAATAGCCCATTTTGTACAAAGGTCTATAATTGCAATTTTTGTATCTTCTTTGCAGACAAAAGTGGTTGAATCTGTTATTGCAAAAATGGAAAATGATGCACAAGCTGTCATAGATGAACTAGAGGAATTAATGGAGAGTTGAACTTGAACATAGCTTGAACAGAAACAAGAATGTGACAGACAGAGCAATTTATGATTTATCATCCTCAAATAGTTGGGGATCATTTGTGATATAAGACAAAGGGAATTCGCCACATAATATCTCATAAGGATAGCTTGTCCTTAGGTATTAGTTACGTCAGCCGAATTCTTTGTTTAAACTATCACGTTTCTGTTAAACAATCAGCTTTCATTTTCCAATTGCAAACTGCGATCCAGACAAGCATGCCTCTTTGGAAGATCAGACGGCAGATGATGACATTTATGCCTCAAATTGCATCATTTTATTTCTTTCCTAATTCGAGTATTAAACGTTTGCAGACACGTGTGCCAATCTTTGCTAAATAAATTGCCTCCTCCGAGTGTTTTACTAAAAATAATATTTTACAGCCGAAGAAAGTTTATCCATGCTTGAACTTTTGAATTTCTATCTTCTACTCTTGATCTTCGGCAGAAAACACCATGCTAAGGATGACGACGAGGTTGATTGTGAAATGAGCTAAAATGTTTTAATGAGCTAAAAAAATTTAGAAAAGCTATATAAGTGAAGGAGGGCTTTTATCGAAACTTATTTCGCCTCCGCTCGTTCATTATAATACTATTACGTCTTTGCTTAAATATTCAAAAACTTACTTTTTGAAACAGCAAAAATATTAAAGAGAAATCCAGTAGCCATTCGTTCTTACCCCCAATATACTACCCCAGTTTGTTCTGACCCCTCTTATTTTAGTATCTGTTTATTCTGACCCCTCGCGGCGAATCATATGTGATGCGAAAAAATAGTAATTCGCTCATACGACAAGCAGGTACGACTGGATTCCAAGATATCATTTGTTAATATCACATGATATACCTTCTGTTCAATACTTATCACATGGAACTTTCACTGGAAACTTCTGAATAGGGGGATTCCCCATGGTGAATTCGGCATCTTATCCATCCAGACCATAGACACGCCCAGTGTGTAGAAAAGAAGGTTCCTAGAACTATTCCTAGAACTATTTCTATTCCTACTAGGTACCGTTTATACGAAGACTCATCTCTCAGGAACAAAGGGATTTACATTGAAGTAAGAATTTTCAAAGAAAAATCCAGAGAAAAGTTCAGAGAAAATTCAGCGAAAAGTAGGAAACTTGAATAATCGAAGAAAAATATGCAAAAGAGCCAAATTAAATTTTGAGAAATTGTAGAATATCACATTCCATGATTTTCTATTAGTATGATTGCTTGGGGTCTTAACATGCTAAGTGAAAAGAGCAGAACGATTCTTTGCATAGTTGTAAGTGCCTTTTGGAAATTATTGGGGACTAAGCTTCTGAGGTCCCTGGTGCCAAGTACGAAAAAATGAATGGAATAGGTAAAAGCTGGGAAACTGCAGGACCGGCGAAACGTATTTGAAATTGGAGGGGCCAAAATATCAAAGTCTTGAAATTTTGAAATTTTTTTTGAATTATGGTGTCTTAGGGATGGCCAGAAACTGTATTTAAAATGAATTTTGACTGAAGGTGTCGCATAGTCGCGTCTATTGTAATGTTGACTTGGAATAGAAAAGTTTTGCAAAGTTTTAGAATAACCACTATCATATAGCTCGTGTTGAAACTTATTTCTTAAATTTATAAAAAAAACGTTCTCGAAATAACATGGGGGAGAAAAATAAATGAAACACGGTTTGATAAATAACATTAACATTAAAATATCAACAGAAGAACTATCAACTAAAAATAAAAGATTAAGCAATTTTATGCAGTTAAGGTATTATTTTGTAGCATCCGATCTTAACTTTTTTTCGAAAATTAAGTGCTTTTAACAAAAAAGACTCTAGATTAGAAAAACCTTAAATCTGGGCTGGTCAGAATGAGTTTTAATAGAATTTTTAATTGCGTCTACATTTACTTTTTCTTAGTAGGAATGGATTATTCAAACGATCAAACTCTGAAGTTTTTTTTGAAGATACTTTCTAAGAACAAATCTGCCCATACTTTATTTCTCATATTCTCAAAATAGACCTTGTGTGTCAAGTTTAGGGAATGGAAAAAACGAAACTCCGTCAATTTGTGCTGGCACCAAGTTTTTCTGGACTAGGTTTCTCGATCTATTTGCTAAGTCAAGCTGTTACTCGTTGTACAACTTAGAAAATGACTTACAGAATCATATATAATATAGAATTCCCGTTTTGCTTGATAATTTTAATTAGCTCTGCAGAAAAGTGGGAGGGCATGGCTCCACCACCCCCCCCCCCGGTCTATTCAGAATAGCCCTGGCCCTGGACTATTCAGAATAGCAAATTAGCCAAGGGATGGAACTGATAGGCTTTGCCAGGGCCATCGCGATAGGGAAGGGGCAAGGAAGTGACAATCCCTTGATAAACAGTTTCCGTTGCAAGAATGATGGGTTTTTGACATCAAATTTGCGACGTTGCTAAAACGAGGAACAAGCGGAACAACCTAGTAACAAGCGGAACAACCCAGTAACAACCCAGGAACAAGCGGAACAACCCAGTAACAACCCAGGAACAAGCAGAACAACCCAGTAACAAGCGGAAATGTGAAGTTATTGTTTTGTAAATAACACATGGGGGCGTTTATAAGCCAACTCTCTAAAGTTCGTGTGGGCTAGCACGTGCACTATCAAGAGGCCGTCAAACACTTCCGTTATGTAATTTTTTGGCAGTTCGCGGCCATTTTCCCTCCTTTTCGCACAACCGTACATAGTTTGATGGATCAGAAAACCTGTCATTGTGGTTTTTCACTCGAATCAAACACCGACATAGCAAGGCAAGGGCTGGTACACAAAAAGCCCAAATTGAGGGGTCGAAAATTGAGGTGGGGGATAATATTTAGAATATATTAATGGCAACCGAAGGGGCAAAAGGACCGGGGGGTGTGGGGGTGTCACACCTCCCCCATAGTATCTCAATGAGAAATTTCAGGTAAAATCTCAATAAACTAACAACAAATGTTGCCAAGTTTTACGAGAAATAATCAGACAAGGCAAAAAATTGGAAATTCTCCTGTGAACTGAATCGAAACTCCATTTCTAGGCATAGATTTTTTACTCATTACTTTTGATTGTACACTTTTAATTGTCGCATTTTTTATGTTGCTACTGTTGTTTTATCTGCTGCAAATTGTTGCTTATTATTTTTGTAAGAAGAAGCACTCGATTAACGTAAATAGCTGATGTAAGAATGGCTCTTCAACTAAGTGTATTTAGATAAATTAATTTTTTTATGATGATGATGAAAACGCCAAACATTGGTTGCGTGTTTGTCACCTTGCCATCATTAGTTCACGATACTGCGCCATTCAATCGCTTGGGGAGAAAATGACTTTGATGTACCTACGAGAAACTGATGGTTTGCCCAGAAATAATTTTACTGAGGCGGAAAGTTGACTTCTTCTTTAATCCAAATTATAAGTTGTAAGAGAAATTAACAATAAATATTTGAAATTAACAACAATGAAGTAAACAGGCTACTTGCTTTTTTTTATTAAAAAGGTATCTAGGCCAAGATGGCCTCTAACGTAATTACAACATTAATATAACAAGAAAAGTTAATATAGTTACTGCTACAACAACTTTTCAAACGTTAATATCAACTCAGTTTCATGAAAAATACAATGGTTAAATGCGTATGTTTTCTGTGTTTGACATCAAAGGCTAGAAAGGGGGGGCTTAATAGAGAGGGGAGGCTTATTTAAAGTTTTTGCTTGATAAGGGGAATTTTAATAGAGAGGGGGGCTTAATAGAGCTTTTATGGTAGCTCAAAATGCGTTTTAGAACATTTCTTCCAGTCATTTCTTGCAATCGTCTTTTTTGCATACTTTTGCTATTTTCAATAAATTTACCCCCTATGTCTAAGGGCCTCCGTGAAAGCATTAATCAGGCATAGAAAAAATTTCTAAGGGGGGAAGGGGGTCTAGTGCCAGATTGCCGTATAGAGATGTTTAAATGCTAATCAAATAAAGGCTTACTCTGAAGTTGAAAACTGAAGAGGCCCTCTTCCTCGTTTATTAATTTTTGAAAATCTATCTTCATCCCAATAGACGTACTTTTAAGATTGTTATTAACTCACAAGAAACTCGGAAGAATCTCTACTGAAAATGTAGGTTTATAGATATCATTCTATTTTTTTCATTTTTGTGTGACTGTATTTTAAACATAAAAAATGCGACAATTAATAGTGTACAATCAAAAGTAATGAGTAAAAATCTATGCCTAGAAATGGAGTTTCGATTCAGTTCACAGGAGAATTTCCAATTTTTTGCCTTGTCTGATTATTTCTCGTACAAACTTGGCAACATTTGTTGTTAGTTTATTGAGATTTTACACACCCCACACCCCCCGGTCCTTTTGCCCCTTCGGTTGCCATTAATATATTCTAAATATTATCCCCCACCTCAATTTTCGACCCCTCAATTTGGGCTTTTTGTGTACCAGCCCTTGCCTTGCTATGTCGGTGTTTGATTCGAGTAAAAAACCACAATGACAGGTTTTCTGATCCATCAAACTATTTACGGTTGTGTGAAAAGGAGGGAAAATGGCCGCGAACTGCCAAAAAATTACATAACGGAAGTGTTTGACGGCCTCTTGATAGTGCACGTGCTAGCCCACACGAACTTTAGAGAGTTGGCTTATAAACGCCCCCATGTGTTATTTACAAAACA